TGAGTGGGTAGTGCAGGCTCTCGCTGCCAAGACTACTGACTTGAGCAGGGTCCCTGGGAGCCTCTGAGAAAGTCCAGAGGCTTCTAAGTTGGTCTTTGATCTTCACATGAATAGTGTGACCTAGCACGCCACACATAAACACACTCACACATAGGCACATGCATCACACATACACACACACCACATACACCACACACACACTCACACATATACACTCATAGGTCACACAGTCACACACAACACATACTCATACATGTACACCACACACACCACACATACACACCTACACCACACACACCGCACATACCACATATATAACTCACACACAACATTGCACACCGGGAACCTCTAAGAATCTGCTTCTCTACGTATCTTGAAGAATACAACACTTGTTTTTGTGCCTGGCTTTTCACTTAACAAGTTCCCAAGGTTCATTTGTAGCATGTCCCAGGCTTTTTTATTCCTCTAGATGTCCTCACAATATTCTGTTATAGTGTGACATTGTTGATGCCACATTGTATTTTTCTAGCTACTCCTTGGCCTTTAGAAAAGGAAGAAAAGCCGTGGATGATATCCTAGCTGTGTTCTTTCTTTTCTTCTTTTATGATCAGATGCCAGGTCAGGAAAGCACACTGTGCAGACTTGAAGACACAACTATTTAACTGAGGGAATTCGGATGTGTACTCAATCGAACACAGAGACTATCCCAACAGCCTGGAGAGGTATGTTGCTGAGGCTGCAAGATCACAGAGGTCAAGGCGAGTGGTCCATGAAGTAGTAAGAGCTGACTTGGACTTAGAAGGCTAAACAGATGTTTAATGCAGAACAAGATGCCCTAGGAAGTCACAGAGGGCTGCTCAGCATGGGGAATCCCACCTATCCCCGTGTGTGACAGTCACTCTTCCCTGGCCACCTGACTGCCTGTAGGGGCAATTCCAGAAAGGTTTGATGATGATGGAGGACTCACTCTGAATGTGACTGAGGCCATCTCGTTGTGGGCCAGGGTTCCACACAGAGTGAAAAGGCCTTTCTGGTTTCTCATCTGCCCAGATGTGAACAGCTCACAGACCATGCCTTCCCCATCATGATGGAGCATTCCTTCCAAACCATAAACCAGAACAGGCCAGTTCCCCCTTTACGTTGCTTCTTGTCTGGCAATTTCTGCAACAATGAGAAAAGTGATTGACACAAGGTGAAATGGGCGGGTTACTTGGAGCACAGGGTGTGGCAGAAGTTAGTGGGAAACTGCTCCGGAGCGTCAGGTCGTAACCCTTTTGAAGGGTAACACGAAAAGCCACTTGCATTTCCTCAGACCCTTGAGCCTGTGGTTGAAGGCTCAGCCACACCTAGCTCTCCCTGGCTCCGTGTAAGCCTCTTGCCCAGCCCCCAAAACCTTTTCCTGCCTTCACTTCCTCTCAGAAGTCACTGCCTTGAAGACCTTTTGATGCCCCTATGTGTCATCACTAGTCCCGAGGGAGTGTGGAGGCCATGTCTAATTCCCACAGGGCCCATAACCCCCAGTACACTACTGGGGACCCTTAGCAGAGCGGAGGACCATGTAGTCCACACGCGCTCAGCCTGAAGCAGCCCCACAAGACCAACCTTGCAGCTCCTTTCGCCAAGGCCTGAGCTGGAACCCTTAGAACCTGCTTGTTGCTTGCGCTCGAACATTCCAAGACGTCTCCAACATCCTCCCACACTCAGCTATTCAGTCAACAGGTCTCTATCAAGGAACTACTTGATGCTTTAGAAACTGGAAACGGCTAAAAGTAGGAAAATCCTTGAGGAGCTCAAAAGATGGTCCAATGATTAAGGACACTGATGGAAGTTGGTGCAGAGGAACTGGGTTCAGTACCCCAGCACCCACCTGGCGGCTCACAACCAACTGAAACTCCAGTCCTGGGGATACGACTCCCTCATATGTGATGCACAGGCATACATACAGGCAAGAAAAGCAAACAGAAGATCCCTGTTTCCATGAAACATTATCTTTCCATCCTCAATGTGTGTGTGTGTGTGTGTGTGTGTGTGTGTGTAAGAGTGTATATGTGAGGTATGTGTGCATGTATGAGTATGCACATGTATATAAAGATGTAAACAATGAACAGGCACAAAGTTCAATGTAATTAGGCAATTACAGTAACTTTTATGTTTAGTGACAAAGGAGAAACAGGACTTGTGAACAGGGAGGAGTGTCCATGCAGACGGTGGAGGGTGGTGGCTAGGGTATCTATCGGTACAACTAAGCCCTTTTGCAAGAACAATTAAAGAAGAGAAACCCCAGGTTCCTCCCAGTCCTCCCTCTGAGCAAATGTACCTTAGCTCCCTGTATCGCATTTTGCCTTCTGACCAGAACATCCAAGGAAACCATGGGCAGATTGAGGGGCAGCCTGACACTGCTGTGAACAGCCTGTGAGACTTCGTCTCCAAGTGGAAATACAAAACGTACTTTAAAATTTAACTAGTGTTTTGATAAAAGTTAGTGTTTAATAATAAAATGCTATATACTAGTAGCATTCTGAGATCAAATTAAACAGAACAATTTTTCACATTCCGTTTTTCTATATGTAATAAAGTCGCCAACACAGAAATCCTGGAAGGAAAAAAAAATCCTTTTAGTTGGTAATTGTCCTAAAAGGCACCTCCAGTCTCTAACAGAGACTGTGCCTGGGGTGGCATGAGGTCCCTGTCATTGAAGATGAGGTACAGAAGCAGAGCAGTGAGCCTGAAAAAGTGTGTATGGTCACCTTTGTCATATCCAAGGACCACTTGCTGATGTTTGACGGACTGAGGGCCTTTGTGCTCACAACCTTGGAGAGTTAGAGAGTGTCGTATGGATGATGGTGGAGCATCACTGGAAGAAAGAGGTAGATACCACATCCTGGACCCTACGATGTGGTCTAGGTGAGGAACTGTTCAGTGACCAGACTCTTCTGACAGAAACAGGATGGGTCATCAACACACACACACACACACACACACACACACACACACACACACTATGCCAAGGTGAACAACGACAACGATCAGGCCTTCTATGTTATTGCCTGTTTGAGGTGGGCTGGGCCTGGCCTAGGCTGGCAGCTGCCAAGTCTAACTGGAACTGAGACTGATTAACTGGGCTGGCGGCCAGGTGCAGGAGTCTGGCCAGTTCGTCACTTAGATATCCCCAGAGTCCTTCCTGGTTCTGAGTCTGGAAGCCTTTCAACTCTTGGCATGATGCCCTTTGCTCATGCCTGGCCGTCTGCGTGAAGGCAGGCACACGTACATGCCACCTTGCATTTTGTATTCCAGGGACCCAGGGTTCTGACGATTTCCCACTCTATCTGACTTTCTCATCCGTGTGCTCACACTGCTCCCCTTGCCAGGACAAGTTTCCCTCCTTCCCCTGTCTGTTCTGTGCTCAGGTATCCACACCTCCTCTGAGTGACCGTTTTCCAATGCAGTTTAGGTCAGGTCTCTCTCCTGCCATACTCACATTACATTAGGTTTCAAGGTCAATGGAATGGTCTTTTTACGTGACAGAAGCAAATGCCTAGACAGAGAATAAGTCAACACCCTCTGCCCCATCTTTGACAGAGAAGTCTTAATTAGAGCTGATGAAATGAAAAAATGAGCAAATGGTAGACACAAAGTGAGAGGATTCAAGACAGTTGCCACAAACTTACTTTGACTTTTTTCCATTCTTTTTTAAATGGTGGTGTGTGTGCATGTGTGTATGTGGGGGCGGCCAAGCATGCCGTGGCCCACATGCAGAAATCTGAGGCTAACTCCAAATGTTAGTCCTCATCTTCCACCTTGTTTGGGAGACAGGATCCATTGTTTGGTGTTGCTCATGGCCGCCCTACCTGGCTCCTGAACTTCTAGGGAGCCTCCTGCCTTTGCTCCCACTTCCCAGGCGGAACTCTGGTATTATGCTAGCACAGTACCTCAGCTAGTCTGTGAGTCCTGCAGCCACAAGTGCTTTACGCACCAAGATGTCTCCTCAGCCCTCCTGCCATTCTTCATTGTCTATCAGTCGCATGGCTTTTAGATAACCTACTCGAAAGATATGAATAAAGCTAAGGACAAGTCTCTGGTGCTGTGTCCTAAGTTCTAGGGAAGTGGACACAGGAGGATAGGCAAATTCAAGGCTGAGGTACAAACAAGACCCTGTCTCAGAGATAACAGTTACAGAATCAAACAATTACTTCACATTCTACTGAATGAAATTGACTCCTCAGAGTTATAGGGTGATGTCTATAAAGGCAGATTCGCCACATGGTTTTGCTCCGCTTCTCCATGCTTACGCAGCCACCAGACTGAAGCTGTCAGAATACAATCAGTTGTATTTCAAGAAATAATACTGTATAGTCATTATTAAAATGTAAACACACATCAAGAATTGGTTATTATAAATAGTCATTGTTAAAATGTAAACACCCATCAAGAATTGGTTATTATAAACAATTTCCATATGGAGAACTGTATCCTGGTATTTTCATAGCAACCCTTATCGTACCATTTAGTGGAAAACAACTCACAAATTGTTTTAGCAATGATCGTCACAGGACAAAGAAAAGAGCAGAAAAAGAAGGAGTTGCCTAACGTGCCCACAAATGAATTATGTTCCCTTCTTATAGGGAACTGTGTTCATTTCCTCCCTCCATTGTCTCTTCCCGCTGCAGACCTGGCAAGGGTTTGGAGTGGCTTGGGGGAGGGATAGATATCAGATAGAGTTACCACTGACCACAGCATTGTAAAGCAATAAATAACCAGAAATTGTCTGCTGCCTCTCCCCTTTCTTTCTCCTGGTATTTTCTCAGGACAATCTGTGAGAATTTTGCCCAGGAGATCTGAACTCTGAATTTCTCACAAATCAACTGGAATAAGTCTAGTTCTTGAGGGCTCTAAAAGCACACACATGTTATAGTTGGCACCTCCATCCCACTCCAGGCGGACTCACAGAACAGTAAGGTGAGGTCATCCCTTACCTCACAGTATCCTCCTCCATCATCACTGTGGTCCAGGGATGGGCATAGTGAGGTGAGAACTACTGAGTCTGCTTCTGACTGTCAGCTGTACCAGGTCTGTTTGCTGGCCTCTGTCTTCGATCTCCCCTCCTCCCAGGGAATAAATGGATGGGACAAGGCCTAAGCCATCCCAAAGGACTGCCGGCTACTCCAACATTAGGAGCTACTCCAACATTTACGAACTATCAAGCTACCTGGTCACTGGACCATGATTTGCAGCAAGGTACCTATTATTCTCTTGAAGGGTCTGAGAGTGTAAATGTCCCTACACTCAAAGGCCAGTACGGGATTAAAGGATGGTGGAATGATTTTTTTTTAGAGAAGATGTCTAAGTCCTCACAATGGAAAAACAGCTTGATCTCTCACCACAAAAGAACTCGCTTCCTCCTTTCTGCCTCTCCAAAAATATTTGGAAAGTGATAAAAAAAAAGGGGGGGGATGTGAATTAACAAAGGAATGGGTTCCCTGTCTCTCTATCATGGATAGCAAAGGCTTTGAGAGTGGAATTTAACTAATTATATGAAAACATTTAATTTGGTCCTTACGAGACCTTACGTAACCTGAAGATAAATCCCAATTTATCTTCAAAGCCTACTACATCTGCGCATGAGTTTAGGATGGAATGTTTCTTTTGTTAAAAATGTATCAGTTGTTTTTACTTTATGTGCATCGGTGTTTTGCCTGTGTGTGTGTGTGTGTGTGTGTGTGTGTGTGTGTATGAATTTAAGATTTAAGTATGTATGAATATATGTGTGTATGTATGTATGTATGTATATGGGTGTTGGAAGCTCTGGAACTGGAGCTACAGGCAGGTATGGCCTGTCATGTGAGTGCTGGGAATTAAACCTGAGTCCCCTGGAAAAGCAGCCAGTGCATTTAACCACTGAACCATCTCCCTAGCCCTTAGGTGTAATATGCAGGTAGGGTATACATCTAGGATTAAAAGAAAGGGGTGGGTGAAGAGGAGATCGGAACATTTTGGAGAAGAAAGGGGAAAATATGATTTTTATTATATAATATTTCCTTTGCAAAAAGATGGAGGGATAGCTTTAAAAAGAACATGAGCCCAATATCATTTCATACCTAAAAGCAATAGATACTATTTTTTAATATGACCAAAAATCAAGTAAAAATTATTTTGCAGTTGGATTCAGCAAGAGTCTATACATGTAAGCTATTCGTTCCCTTTAGTTCACTTTCAGCTTCCAGAGAATGGAAACAAAGACGTGGGGGACACTGGGTAGAAAGGGAAAAACAGCCAGCGAGATGGGGGAGGGGAGAATAGTTGGGGGAGGGAAAAAGATTGGGAGGGAAGGTGCTCAGCCTGGGGTACCCCGCAGGAGCGGTTGATCCTAAACCTGAAGGATCGCATCCACCCTTCCAAGGTTTTTCCAGAGGAAGACCCTCAAGTAGAAAGACCAAGAAAAGCAAAGGGGCTTCCATGACTAGGACATGGCCCCAGCTTATCCACCGGCCTTAGGCCTGAGGGTTGCCTGTTCAGATCTTCACCTCCCCCTCAAGCGTGCCGCCTTTGATCTCTGTCTCCAGGTTCCAAACTAAAAACCAAAGAGGTCTGCATTTCAAGGTGGAAGCATGAGGTAGCAGCCCAGCCAGGTGAGACAGAGATTATAAGAGTCTGAGACAAGACTCTCCCGGCGGAGGGTCTATCACGTCTTAGAAGGATGAAACTCTGCCTGTGTGGTAGGCAGCGCCTGAGCAAGGCTGTGTGGCGCTCCTGGGGCGCTTGGCCTCGTGTCTCGTGCTCTGCCGTACAGCTGACAGTGCAGTGTGGGCCAATCTCACTCCTCATTCCACCTGAACTCATGTCGCGGCAGGTGTGGGAACATCGTCCATCCAGCCATCCGAGCGCTCACCAGCAGTTCAGATTCTGGTCTCATGCAAGCACAGACAGCCTTTAATCCCTCTAGATGAAAAAAAAAAAAATCTGCAAAAGTAAAAGCTTAGCAAACTAAATGATTTTTTTTTTCAGAGAACCCAGCCAGTTTCTCTTGTTCAGCTTAACTGAGGCTGAGACCAGATAGGCCCTTTCATTTTGGCCTCCTTTTTATTTCAAAGAGAAATGTGGTCTCTAGGTGGGAGGAAGAAGGACAGAGTCAGGTCTTTGTGCCTTGTTTTGATGAGTCCCTGACCTACTTCTCTCTTTTTAAATGTAATATCTACTATGTGTTTAGAATTTCATGTGCATATACAATGTGCTTTGAACATATTCGGCCCCTCCCACTCCTCCTAACTCCTCCCAGATCTACAGTCTCCATCCCTCCCAACTTTGGGTCCTCTTTTTTAAATTTTAATTTAATTGTGTGCATGTGTGACCCACTGATTCCAACTGGTACTGCCCATACACTCATAGCTGTGGGGCTCTATCCACTGAAGTGTGGCATTTCTTTTTTAAGTATGTTGTTTGTCCTTAAATGGCACATAAGAATACATTGCTTTGATAGCAGTGATTGAACCCCACAGCATGGCCCAGCAGCCAGTCTAAAGTTTCTACGGTGACCCTCTAGTGTGGGAAAACCATGGTTTCCACTCTGCTTAGTCTTTGAGCTGAGGGGCTCAGATTTTAGAGCAATTAGAAAGTTCTCAGCCTCTCCCTTGGAAGAGTCCAAGATGGGAAATCTATCCTGATATCTAGAGGGGTCGCTGTATTGCCTTTTCTATATCTAGTCCCTACAAACAGGCAGTTAATGCTACCTTGAAATAGTTTACTCTCTTTCCTTGTCCCCTCTCCAATTTGCCATGGAGAATTCAGGGTGTTTTCCCTACTTTGAGTTCGTTCTTCGGTTGATGTTCTTTTACTGTTCTATCAATCTGGGTGCCTTGACTTCTTTCCTTCCTTTGAGTAAATGTTCACCTCCCTTCATTAGCTGTCCTGTCCTGTACCTCTTCTCATGCCTGGCACCAGGGGGCACTAGAGATGTCTGGGCCAAAAGTCTATACACCCTCGTGTCTTGAAATCAGTAAGTGAATTAAAAAAAAAAAAAATCTACCATGAGCTGGGAGTAGATTATGTTGTAACTGGTGCATCAAAATTCTAATCAGAACTAGAGAATGCCAGGGCTGGGGCACAGCCTGGGTGACGAAGTACTTGCCTAGTGTGCTCCGACCCCAGTGCTGAAGGAGCCAGGGCTGGGTGGGGAATAAGCAAGGGAGTCTGGTAATTGTCTGCTTGATGGAAACCCTCAAATTCTATCCCTTCCTGTAGCAATTTTTTAAATATTGTGCGTTTCACTCTCCTTTTGACTATTGCTCCAACACTTCAGTGAAACGCTGCAAGCGGGTAATTACTGAAAGGAAAAGGTTCAGTTTTTTCTTTCTCTTTTTTCCCTTTTCTTTTTTTAGTTAATTTTTAAAAAGCTTAATTGTGGAGCATGGCCCTGAGAAAACAGTTTTTTAAAGCCAGATGTCAACGTGCCCTACAATCTTTTGTGTCTGTGATTAGATTATATGTCACAAAACCATCCTGAGGTGATAATTAGATTTTATCTCTGCATGGAGGTGGAGGATGGAAGTGGGTGGTGGTGTAAACCTTTCACCAAAACAAGACAATTCACTTGATGGGGGTAGGAGACAGAACTCACTCAAATGGTTGGGGTACGGGACCAACGCTGTCTGATCAAGTCAATGTGGGCATCGCAAAGGTGAGAAATGAGGGGGTATTTTTTATGTGTCCCTCTGTTGGGGCTCCAAAATTAAGAACGCAAACTGGAATCAAAAAGTCTTCTCCCCATACGTTGTCAGCAGTCAGTTAAGGTCGTTGTTTCAGAGCTGACGCTGAGCACCGAGTGGGGAGGCCAAGAAACCTCACAGCCGCTGGTGTTGAAATGATACGGCTCGGGCTTCCACGTAAGCGACACCTCCAGCTCCACACAAGAGCAAGAATTCCAGCGACAGAATTTTGCTTCCAGCAAGGTGGTGGCCTACATTTTAACTCACCCTCAAGAAAAGCGCCTCAGTTTCACAGGTGTTCACAGTAATATGACCCAACCGAAGAGCTCTGTTTTCTGAGTTAAAATTTAGCTCTGCGGGCTCATATTCAGCGTGCAGACAAGCAAGGCAGGAAGCCTCCCACACGAGAAAGGAAAGATAAGAATTATCAATGCCAGACTTTTTTTTTTTTTTTTACTGAAGGCCATTTCAAAGTGAAGTATAGACATATATGGCATGCATAGAGATCCTCTGTGTATGTATATAAACATGGACGTTCACATATCAAAACTCGTTTCTTGCATGAGTAACAAAAGGTACCAAGAACAAAGTGAAAGCAACCAAAATCGAAAAATGAGAAAGTATTTCCAACTCAGCGGCCAAAGGATTACTTATTACCCTCTAGACATCGAGAGCTAAGAAAGAATGCAGAAGGGAGAAGGAAAAGATATATGCACTGAAGGACCTCAGGGGCCGAGTACATACACATGGCTAACCACCAAATTATTCCTAACTTCAATGGTGAGCAGAGAAATACAAAACAGAAACAAATTTTTGACTTCCTTCACCGACTGGGTGGGACAAAGATCCTTCACTTGGCCAAACTTCCGTTAGGCCCTTCTCTTGACCCATCAACTGTCAATCACCTTGAACATGGACATTGTAGAAGCAGAAGTACCTTATTTGGGACTTGGGAATTGCAATTTGGGATCTACAAATCCAGACGGTTCCGAATGGGCACCCCAAAGACACCCAGATGTGCATCAGGCTTTGAGAGACAAGGAGAAGCTGAGAGGAAATTTCTCAAGTTGAACGACAAGAAAAGTGCCAAGTGCAGGGAAACTGTCCTACCCTGAAGCTAAGCGTCACTGAACCACCAAGGACTAGTAGCCAAGACTCTCCCTAGAGGTAAAGTTAGTTGGCTATGGCAGTTTGATGGGCTGTAACCTCCAATAAAAGAGAGCAAGCCTGAGCCCAGTTCAAAAAAAAAAAATGAGCATTGCTATGTTGTTTACTACAGGCAGCAGACTCACATTCTCATCAAACAGCTAGAGCAAAGATCACCACTAAGTCAAGTAGGAGCTCCTTCTTCCTCCTCGGTGGTATCTGGTCAACCCCATCTGTGTTCAGTAGAACTGCTAGGTTGACTTAACCAGCCTCTCTTCTGTGTGCTTCCTGTTTCCTCCCATTCCGGTTCCCTTATCTTTCCTGGCTCTTCCCAGGGATTTTCCAGCCACCAACTCTATCCTGCTTCTTAGCTACAAATTCTCTTTTCTTGCTGTGGCAGAAAGGCCCCCAGAGGCTCATGGGTTTGACTGTTTGGTCCCCAGTTGGTGGAACTGTTTGGGAAGGAGAAGGCAATGTGTTCTTGGTGGAGGAGGTGTGTCATGAGGCAAGGGGAGGGGAGGGACACTTGGAGGCGTCAAAAGTCTCCCACCATCCCAGATGCATTCTCTTCTTCCTGTTGTTGATTCTAGACGTGAGCTCTCAGCTACTGTGCTGGCCGCCTGCTGCCTGCTGCCTCTACTACACCCTCATGAACCCCTATCCTCCACAACGATAAGCCCCAAACAAGCTTGCTTCTATAAGTTGCCTTGGTGATGGTGGCTTATCCCAAAGTAGAAGAGTAATTAAGACAATTGTTGTAGTCAGAGTTGAGCCTGGTTGGTGTTTGTTTGTTTGTTTGTTTGTTTGTTTGTTTTGGTGTGGAGGTGGGAGAACACACAGTGTTTCATTCTTTGCTTGAAAATCCCATAGCAATGGTTCTGAGTAGAGTCATCCTTGCGGCTATCCACATCTTATGGAATAATGTTTACCTCCACAGAAGCTTTAGATATTAATGATATCCAGTCCTGACAAGAAAACAGACATTGCACTCTGCTGGGAGTGCAAATGTAGAGACCTGGTGGTGGCCTGTGACCTGGGAATCTTCTCAAGGAATTAGGTTCATGCAGGTGGGAAGATGTGTACGCTACCTCTCACTGACCACTGTGACCGTGATGGTTAATTTCAACTAAGTGGGGATATTTCTGGGAGGCTAATAAAGCACTCTTTTAGAAGCATCTGTGAGGGTGTTTCCAGAGACACATTGCTTGTGGGCAGTACCTTTGGGAGAAGATGCTCTCTTAATGTGAACAGTTGCATCCTACCAGAGAGGAGATGTTGGAAGAAGGCCCCTAGTTTGTTCCTGGACGCTCGGCTAACTTAGACTCAAAGTAATCACACAGAAACTGTATTAATTAAATCACTGCTTGGCCCACTAGCTCTAGATTCTTATTGGCTATTGTTTATATTAATTTAACCCATTTCTATTAATCTGTCTATCACCATGTGGCTGTGGCTTACTGGGTAAAGTTCCCAACGTCTATCTCCAGCAGCTCCATGGCTTCTCTCTGACTCTGCCTCCTTTCTCCCCAGCATGCCAAGCATGCCATTTAGTTTTCCCCACCTGCCTAAGTTCTGCCCTATCAACAGGTCAAGGCAGTTTGTTTATTCATTAATGGTAATCACAGCATACAGAGCAAAATCCCCCATCAAGGGGAGGCTGGATGGAAGAAAAGATGGGAAGAAGGAAGCCACCAGCACACATATGCTTTACCCTCTCTGCTTCCTGGCTGCTGGGAGGTAAATGGCTTTGCTCGGCAACATCCTTCAACAATGACCTTTGCCCTCACCACCACCCAGCATCACGGAGCTAGACGACTATGGACAGAAACCTCTGAAATCCTTAAATTGATTGATTCTTTCAAGTGTCTGTCACAGTAACATGAAAAAAAAATGAGCAATGCAATTGTAATACTACAAGTTTACAGAAGTGTTGAATGCTTGCAACAGAGAAGCGCTTGTACAAAACACACAGACGATCAGACTGTCTGCAGCCTTTGAGAATGAATGGAGGATAATCATCTACAACGATGTGAAGGTATAGTCAAGAAACTTTGGAGTAAAAAGTATAGTTTCCAAGGAATATACATGCATGTGCCCAATTTTTGAGGAAAGAATATTTATGTGTCAAGACAAGCTTGAGT